ATTAAATGAAGCGATTTCCAGGTAATTAATAATCTTGCCTAATGAGTTGTATTTTTTTAACATTTAAAATAGACATCTCTCAAGCCAAAGCACAGGTCGTGGATTTCTTTACAAAAAAATTAGGTGAAAAGAACACAAAATTTGATAATTTGATCAGAAATTTTCTTAACGAACCATCAAAAAATAAATAAATTTACCCATATCTCAGATGCGTATTTTCTCAAAATAAATTAATGCACTTAATAATCACTTGAAAAATGCCAAATTTTTTAGATCCTGGAGTGACTTTGAGGCCCCCCGGGCCTCCTCCTGCTGCAGCACTTGGCGATTCTTCTTTGTCATCATCGAGTCATGCATCATTCAATTGAGAGTGCTGGAAATAATAAATGATAGACGAGAGCCCCGACGCGTCAGTCAAAAAGCGGCCGCGGCGCGTCGACGTGATTACAAAACATTGTGTGTGCGATCGGTTTTAAAAAGTAATTTTTAAAAATCATTCCGGCACCATTATTATTACTATTATATTGCATTACAGCATATTATATTTGTGTCGCTTATAGAATTTGGAGTGGCCCGGACACAGACAGCGCGCTCGAGAGCTTTATTATTTTAAATAAGGAGTGACTCGGCTGAATCCTTTGTTACAATCCCCGAAATCATGATTCTCAAAAGCTGTCAATCAAATTTTCGCCGTCTATAGATCATCGGGTGATGGCTGGGGCATTGTTGGCCGCGGCATGCATCCTTCAAACAAGTGACAGCCTCTGCACCAACAAAACCAGCAATGCTATTCCAGCGTGTCATCCCGCCGTAATTAAAATCCGATTCAGTTTCTCAGAAACTAACTCTTCCCCCGCTGAGCCCAAAAGGGTCCGACCGGCAATCGTCCAGTGCGAATTCAAACAGCGTGAGAATTGCCATAGGTATTATTTACAGCCGCCCAGATATGAATAGGCTAACTTAATTTACACGCCTGTCTTCTAGCCGAGATTAATTTTTTGATAATTTTTTTCTATTAATTCCACTTAGCAAAATATTTTGTATTTAAAACTAGCTCAAAATTGAATATTTTAAAATTCTCAGCTTTATTTAATTCACGAAAGAAGATGAAAAAAATTACTTTAAAAATCTAAGGGAAATTCGTTTCCGAGCATAAAAAACGTTCTTTTTTATTATCATATAATATAGAAGTAAATAAAATTAAGTAGATTAATTTGACAAATTTGTTAAAAATTGATTTCGGCGCTGATTTAAAAAAGGTAAAATACAATTTTTAATAAAATTTGTTGAAATTGGAACCAATTAAAAAGAAATAAACAGAAAATTTAAACAAATGACAACTTGGAAAATTTAAACAATTTTAGAGCAAAATTAATAAAAATCCACAGACATATTAATAAATTGAATTTTATCCTACTCTGATTGACATTGAGTGTCATTTCCTGCTTCCAAATTAAAATGAAATGAATTTCCCATTATTTGCATTGGCGGCTGAAAGAGATTCGTCACACGCATTCCTCAGCTCAATATATCCCCTGGAGTGATGCGACTTCTTAGGAAGGCAGGAAATGCACTTTGTTGCCAACTCACTCGCCGTGAAAAGGACTCTCCCTGGTCAATACATTTACATTGAGAGGGTGGTCACGTCATGCATAAATCTGCGCCATCAATCTCCCTGCCGTAATTCGAGCCTGCTGCATTAAAATAGGAGTGTGCATTAGGACGCAGGGACAGGTCTGACCATCCGCTGCCTCATTTTTTCATCACCTGTCTGTCACACGGGCCGGCGAACCTCTCTCTTTTCCTCCCAAAAGAGATGGACGCTGTCGCTCTCCTGGCAAAAGAAGAAGGGAGACAAGCCCTTTTAGCACCGAATTTTACCTGCTTCGGCGCGGGTGCGCTCAAGTGCTAGGGTTTCAATTTGTCATCCAATTTCCAATCGGCTTGAAATATTGATTTGTTGAAAGAAAAAAAAATTAGTTTTTTATGTGTAATGAAATAAAACTTTATTTTTATCTAATCAAACATAAAAAATGGAATTTTCTTATATTTTTTCTCGGAAATTTCATCCTTCTCTTTCAAGATCAACAGAGCGCCCAATTGAGTGGTAAAGTGGGCAAAAAGGTGCGTCGTTTTGCGCGCACCCACACCACGCTTGTTTTTTGCTTCTCTTTCGAGGGAAGAAAAGATCTTTTATCCCCAATAGAATGTCCTCCGGGCGCTTGAAAAATGAGGAATTCACGCCAGTTCAAGCAAACAATATTCTGCTGGCTTTCTTTCTTCCTGCTTTTGCAGTGCAGGGAGCATGAAATTTTTTGACTAATGGAACTTGTCCTGAGATTTACATTTACAGTGCGGAAATGTGCTTGGGGAATTAGAAAGAACGGCTCAAGAAAGGGCTATTGGGGAAAACGATTGACATTCCCATTTGTGGGAAAAAGACTGCATTTGTTGTGATTTGATCAAATGCAAGCGAAACCACAAAGGTGACTGAAAGGTCTTGTCAATATAACAAAGGACGAAAATGCTTTGAATCTAATTTTATAAGAGGCAAATAAATACTATAATGTAAGAGTCTAAAAAAATTAATTAAAATTAAGATTCAATTCCATTTTAATTTAATTTAAATGAAAGAAATTGCTTCTCAAATGTAGACAAAATGAAATATTATTTTATAGAAAAAGTCAACTCTCCTTTGAATGAGATGTTAAAATAACCATTAGGCCCAGCCACCTCTATATATCCAGATGGAAAAATCAGTTAGTTCAAGTGGTTTGCCTGTGGAGGAAATTAATGAAGCTTCCCTTTCTCTCTCTTTTTTCTCCGAGACGATATTCAAATCGTCAGGCGAGGCAAGGAGAAGCTGCTGGCTTGAAAAATGATGTTGCGGTCGGATACATTACCAGCGCATTATTATTATGATTGTATTATTATTTAATAGTGAGAGAGAGCGAATTTGTCTAGTCATTATCTAACTGACAGCCGCTCTTTTTCTCCTTGGCGCGCTTCCCCTTTGCTCTCTCTCTCGATGCACGCAGCACAAGTTTGGCCTCTTGTGTGAGTAAAAATGAAATGCACCCCTCTTGTAAAGTGAGAGAAGAAGCTGTTGATGCCCCTGCTTGCTCTACAAGAGATTTTTTCCTCACACTGAAAGAGAGAAAGAAAGAAAGAGCAGTGGCCCGTGCCACTTTTGATATGGAGCTAATTTTCAAATCAATCAAAATTACCCGGAATAACATTTATATAATCCGAAGCTCCCTTATTTACTCTTATTTGTGATTGTTTGATTTAAAATCTTCTTTAAATTGTGCTGCAATTTAGAATTTTTTTAATTGATGAAAATAATTTGGAATATATTTAGCAGATTTTTTTATAAATAGAATTTATTTTAAAAATATTCCAAGACTTATTAAATTTAATTCTGAACTCAACTGCAGCATCAATTATTTTATTATTAAAATAAATAGAAAGAATATTTCAATCCAGGGAAAATGCAGTTTTAATACAAAATTATTCTTTCATTAATAAACGGAAACAATAAATTATTAAATTTGCCTTTCCTTATATTTAAATTTAAACGATGATCTTGTTAATTTAACATAGCTTTAGACTGCGATTATACATCAGATCAAATTTCTCCAGCCAATCTATTAGACAAACAATTAGAGCCCACTTGAGCCGAGTTATACAAAGAGAGAGAGAAGCTCTCTGGTGTCGAAATAAAAGGGCCGCGGCGCGAGCTGCTGCGCCGCCGACTTTATGAAATTTCAATTAATCTCTGTCTTCATTTGAATGTAATTACTCATCAAACAGCGGCTGTTGCGTCTACATCATAATAGTCGGCTCTTTTTTCAAATATTTTGACACCTTCTGCGCCGCAATCACAGAATAAAAAATGCAGAATCTTGGCGAGTGCCAAAGAGACTACTTTGCTCATTAAGCAAATCAACAGGGCATTCTTATAACTTCCAAGAAGTCAAGTCTGTGCCAAAACTTCAAAGACATTGAACCGATCAGATCGGCCGGCTTAAACGTTTTTGTCCTTATTGTTGTTTTCACCCGGAGGGAATTATTTAAAACTAATTTTATTAGGAAAGATAGAATTTTAATAATTTTTGTACACATTGAAATCTTAACACAGAGTTTTTTTTAATAATTAGACTTGAATAATATTTTAAATTAATTTGAATGAAAGTTTTGATATTTCTGTACAAGACTTTTCTAGAAAACTGTGAATCTCTCCTTTTCAGTTTGATTCGCCGGTAGGCAGAGCCTTTTGATTAAAACTCCTCTTTGATGACGCGACTTTTGCAGAAGCTCATGAAATGCCCTCTCTTTTCAATCAGCCGTCAATCCGGCGAATTTCACTTGTCACTCAAAAGTCACAAGGCTTTGACTGGGTACATAGTTCATTTTCTTTGAAGCAAAAGACGCCGTGCAAAGTCTGCATGTGAATAGAATTAAAAAAAAAACCTCTCTCAGTAGATGATATAAAATTAATTAGCCTGTCTTTTCCTACGAAGCTTAATTTCCTTATATTTAAATCTAAGTACAAAAAAGATTTTAAAATTTCTGAATTTATCATAAATCAGGAAGATTTTAAATTAAAATCTAATTAATATTAGAAAATGGTCAATTTTTGTCCAAATAAGAGGTTGCAACATTAATCGATTTAATCGTTTTTATAATTTTTGAACAAATTACTTTATCTCAAATTTCCTTATAACAACTATGCTTATTGAAAAAAAAATTGGTTCAATTGGTCGTTTCGGGTAAAAATTTAAATTAATTATATTTTTTAATTAGAGTTATTTTCAGTATGAGGACCTCTGGTGTTCATTTCAGAATTACACACAAATTTAATGTTTTTAAATTTCCGGAAGGAGTATTTCGAGTCCTAATTTTAAACCTAGCGCCAAGAGGAAGTACTTGATGCTTGCTTTCACTAAAATAATGTCTGAAGCGAGGAATTTGGCAAAATTTCAAAAGTTGCTACTCACATTTCATTTTCTTGGGGCAGTGCTGCTTGATGCGCGGCATCGTGAGGCCAGTTTTGTTCACTGGGGGTGTCGAAAATGTGTCCGTCCGAAGTCCGAACTTGTGGAAGAATCGAAAGCACCGCACACTAACTTCAGAAAGAATCCAGTCAATCAAGTGGGCAAGATCACAACATTTGTGTAGCACGACACGCAACACGCGGAAGCAAGTGTCAGGGTTCACATGGCCCTGGCGAGGGCGCCGATCTCTCTCCTCAGGGTGCAGCTAGGTTCGTCAAAGGTGACGCGAGCGACGGGGACCGACCGCTCCTCGCGAGTTCTGCTGCCTGTCTCTCTTCCTCTCTCTCTCTCTCATTCCATCGTCGTGTCTCTCTCGCACACCACACTCGTACCTCATGGCCAGTTTGACACGTGGGCGGGGCCTGTGGCGCCGCCTCCGCGGCCCCCACACCATACATCTCGCTCTCATCACGCCCGCCGCTGCCAACGTCGCCGACTCGGCGCTGAATCCGGGCACCGGTGTTGCCCGGGTCAGGGACCGCTCGCTGCACTTTGCCAACACGCCAACAATCTCCTTCATTGTTGCAAAACGTTACTGACACTTTTTTTAAACAGGTGAATAATGCAACGATTGTGCTATTCAACAAAGTTATAGGTTAAATGGTTTTTAATCAAGTTTTTACAACAATAATTAAAAGTCTGAATTGGCAATAATCCCTGAAATTGGCTTCTATTGTTGCAAAGATTGAATAAGATTTTTTTTAATCAGGACTTTTTTAACTGGAATCAGGTTTTTTATTAAGCAATTATAATTTAAATTTTGGGAGTTTTTTTAAATAAAAATATTTATAAAAATTATACAATTTGGAAAAGTAAACAATAATAAATATTTTTATTAATTAAAAAAAAAAATCTTGCTGATAGTTCAAATTTTTGACATGTGCAACTGTGCATTTATATAAAAATAATTAATTTTAGTAAAATAACGAGTAAAATTTTGATCAATGATTCATCTATAGGGAGAAGTTTATGCGATTATAGCCGAATCAGAGGAATGTTTGATTGGTTTGATTGTTGCCCTATATTGCATTTTACAGTAAAATGTGATCTTGATAATGTTTTTATTGGGCCAAAAGAGGTCGAAAGAGTTCCTCAGTTCTCTTTACACCATATAATTTTCACCGCATTTTTTTATTAGCTTCCAATTTTGAGCTACATTGATCGGGCTCTTTTAAACACTTACGGCAAAACATTTAATCGTTTTTATTTCCTTGTTTGTAAATCCTTCCCATAAAAACCAATTATTCCTTTGTTTATTTTTAGCTGCTGACTTGAACAAATTTATTGAAAGAGTTTCATAATAAAAAAATCTTGCGGTAATAGTATAAAATTTCGTTCATCGAACCTTGAAAGTAGGATGCGTGCAAAAATATATTTGAGCCTTTTTTTTCGTTGGTTTTCACACGAGAATAAGTTAGGAAACTTTTAATGAGAAATATTAATTATTTACTTTCCTATAACTTTATTTTAATTTTGTCCTGGAATTTATTATAACAATAAATTCTTTTAATCTTCAATAAAAACAAAATTAATGTGTATTGCCGCAAAATTATACTAAGATAGTTTGTGGTAAAAATTAACTTCAATCTTTTAACTGATCAAATTAAAATTAATTATTACATTGGAGAACCGGATCATTTAAACAAAAAATATGGGAAAAAATAATAACAATATATCATCTTTGTTGATTGTTGTTAATTTTTTAATGTGAGTGGGTTTTTTTTTGTAAATTTTAGTGTAGTATGTGTTGTGTTTGCGTTGTTAAGTTTATTCGTTGACTTCCTTATAGAAAAGAATGCAATTGACGAGTAAAGTGGAAGTCAAATTAAAATTTAACAAACACAAATTCTCTTAATATAAGCTTGGGGCGAATATCGACTTAATTAATTAATATCTACAAATAATAAATGTTATTAAACACATTATTTTAAAATATTCTGACAATCTGTGTTTATAGAAGAAAAGTATAGAAGTTAAAATCGATAATTTAAAATGTTTCTCTATTTTTTTCCAAATTTTATTGAAGTATTTTTATAAACCCGTTAATATATTTTACCAAGTTTCTTAACTGAAGTTTAAATAAATTTTGAAAATGACACTTCAAAAAAGTAAGTGAATAATTTTAATTATGTTCTATTTAGAAATGTTTTGTGTTAATTCCTTGCAATATAAGCCGAATGAAGAGAAAACAAGCAGCTTTCTTCTCTTTTCTCATCCCAGCTAGCGCTGGTGCATTTTGGAATGTTTGGCCTTTGTCAGGTTGGCAGCGACGCCTCTTTCGCCGGCTAATCGACCTCTCGTCTCGATCTTGCACACAATGCCGCTGCTCTGATAAGACTTTATTTCCTCAAAATAGACAGAAAAGCGGTGACAAGTGCAGTCGCGACTCGAGTCTCAACCCCCGGAGCCGGAGAGAGATTTTCCCGGATATATAAAAAAAAGAAATGCGCCGGGGTGGCTTTTCGCACGCGGCTCAACCTGTTTTCCGCGAGAATTCGCCCAAATCCGTGAAAACCGGCGGCTTCTTGAGATGAAAACTCGATTTCGCCTGAATAGAGAAATAATTTGTTGGTGAAACAAAAAAATTAAAAATTTTAGCAAATTTTCATTCAGTTGAAATTGGGGTCTGGAGGGCCCACGTGGGGCCGGGGGTTTGTTTACAAAGTGGCACGGGGTGGCGGTGACGTCACGAATTTGACATTTACAAATTCGCGAGCATTAATTTTGCAGGGCCCGGGTAAGTGAGGCTAAGAGAGCTAAGCTCCACCCACCCATTCTATCTTTCGCTTACTATGAAATTTACGAGCGCTTTGGCGGGAAAGAGAAGGAGATATGTGGCTTGACAGAAAATGTGGAGGCGCGCAGCAGCAGCAGCTCCACCATGCAGAGAGCAAAAACATCAAATTTCGCTATTGTTGGAGTCCGCGCACAAGCAAGGTGCTGCTGCTGCTGCCCAATTGTTATTGCAAATTGTTTCGCGCGCCCGGCACGACGCGCTCAGCTCACGGATTCCGCGAGTGCCTCGAATTCGTGATCGCACACCTGAGCTGAGAGCGGATAGATCGGTTATGGCGAATTTATTTTATAGCCAATTATTTTCGGGAAAGGAATTTTCATTGATACACAAAAATCACCTTTTCTGGCGTTTTTATAAATCAGCAAATCTATTATTTCTTTATTAAAGAAAAAATTGCAAATAATAATTGAAAATAATATAATAATTTTTATAATTTCCACAACTTTTCACTCATAAAATGAACAAAAGATTGCCTTCATTTTCCATTCATAAATTGATAATTTATTAATCTTCGCAAATTCTGGAATTTTGAAATCATATTGAATTTTGCAAAGAGGCTGTCAACATAATTTCTGGCAACAATCTAATGGATAATAGATTGATTCTTCATTTTGCAATATTTTAACTTATGAATTTTTTTTCCAATTTTACTGAGTTCTCTGCGTACAACCAGTAATTAATGTGTAAAGCGATTTAATTAAATTTGAAATCAGCGGCAAACAAAAAATTTCAAAATCCAGACAATTAGAGCAAAATGCGATTGTTGCTGAAACAACAATCAAAGTCGTGTTTGGCCTGTCGCATGACTGTTAATAAGCCGATTTTTTGGGCACATTCTTTGGTGCACCGTGCATAATGCATTAAAAAATGACATTGAAAATTTTATAGACTTAATATCAAGCAAAATCCGTTTAATTGACGTACTCATTTTATTTAATAAATAATCTATTTATTTCCTAAGAAATAAGTAATTTAATTTCACTGAGAATTCTGAGAAATTCCTATTCCTGCACGATTTTGAAACAGAAAAGTCAAGCAAAAACATTTGAATGTTTTGATTTAAGCCCTAATTACTGGGTGTTGAATTTAAAACAGCTTTATTCTTTTTAATTTGCTATAGATCTCGAAATAAATTAAAAAGCAATTTCTTGACAGGCGCGTTGTGCAGGTTGCATAATTATATTGTCTACATTAATTTGGTCTCTTCCGACAGTTTAAATCGTCCTACAAATCATAAAAATATTTAATAAAAAATTGACAAACTGTTAAATATTTTCCATGTATATTTTGTTCCAAAAAATTAATTAACATTAAACAGTTTTAACATAAAAACAGTTTTACTTTCAATTTTTGTTTGAAGAAAATATTTTTCCTCGACTGAGGTTGTGCAGAGAAGATTGAATCTGGCAGGAAAAGCCAGAGAGGAAGAGGCGACTGGGCGCGCAACAAAGAAACTTTGGAGCAGGTAGCAAAAGTCTAGGGAAAGAAAAGAAGGGAGCAGCGCTGCATCAACAGCTCTGGAAGAGAAAAAAAGTGCACTCATTTGATTGATGGTTGTCAGTGCGCAGAATTTTAATCGTTTCTGGATCTGCTCTGGCTGCACACTATGCACGCCTGTCAAAAAACTCATTTATTAAAAGCGCTGCATTCTTACTTGTGAGAATGCATAAAAAGGAAAATCCCTTTTTGTCTGGCAAATGGTCAGAAAATAATGCTGCCTGCGTTCGAGGTGATTTTTGTGCGCTTGTTTGAGTGATTGCTGGAAAGAGAAGAGACGCCATAAATCTCGGCACAAATTCTTGCCTGTCTTTTTGAAGGACAAAAAGTCTTGTCAATGACCGCGGCCTTGCTATTCACACACAAAACGCGCTGATTCCGTGAAAGAGATTCCTTTTCTCCGATGCGCGCAATCCGGCGACAATGAAAGTCATAAATTTCGACAACGTCAAAGTGTGAAACCCAAAAAAGCGCGCGGCTGGTCAAGCTTTCCTTGAGGACGAGTGACAGCAGTAAATCATCAAATGAAATTTATCTCGCGCAAAGTATTACTACAAATAGCAATAATTTCTTCACGCGCGCGCGTGATATACAAAAGCGGGCCTGATCAAAAATGCAGCTTCCTCTCTTTCCGCTCCCGATGCACAATACCTTTTTCTTTCTCTCCGCTATTATTTATGGCGCGGGGGCTATAAATTACGCCAAAAACACAATCTGCCGGGCGGCATCTGCCCTTGATGAATCAGTTTTGGATATTATTCGCGCTCGATGCAGAAACGCGAGCATGCGAGAGAACGAGCGGGACGATATTGAAAAATTGCTTCGCCCTTCTTTGCTCGCCGATTATGTCGGATCATATTGTTCATAATCACGACCTATTGTATGTGCGCCTGCCTGGATCAAACGAAAACGTTTATATCTTTCACTCACTATCAGAGGGAAAAATGCAAAAAGTTTAGTTAAAAATTTAAAATATAATTATTA